GGTTAGTGGATTGCTTAACTAACAGTTACTATTGGATTAATCTTAATTTAATAAATTTAATTATAGTTAAAAATTAATTAAATTAATGTCTTATATATATAAAATTTTCTAAAACATCCTATTTACTTTAATAATAAATTCTGAAACAATAAATTAATGTTTAATTCGGAAATTAAAATTAATAAAAGTTAAATACAGTGCCAGCAACAGCGGTTAAACTGAATTTATAAATTAATTAAGTCAAAATATTAAAATTATATAAAATAAAATAAATTTAATTAACTAATTAATTAAATTTATGGTGAAATACAAAATTTATATTTAATTGTTAATTATTATTCATATAATAATTCAAAAATTTTATAAAAAACTAGGATTAGATACCCTATTATAAAAAATATAAACAATAATTAACAATTAAATGTAAATCATTAAAATTAAAAAATATGGCAGCCTTTTATTCTTATTAAAGAAACTTGTGTTATAATTGATAATCCACGATAAGATATACTTAAATTAACACTTATGTATTGCTGTTTTAAAATTATGTATAAATTACAAAATTCCAATATTTTATCTATAAAAAATAACAATTCAAGTCAAAATATAGTGTAATTAAGAAAATATGAGTTACAATAAAATACATTTTTGAATGAATAATTTTAACATTATTTTAAAAGAGAATCTAAAAGTAAATTTTTTCAATTAAAAAAATTGATAATAGTTTTATTAGGTGTACAAATCGCCCGTCAATTTCATTATAAATGAAATAAGTCGTAACATAGTAAATGTACTGGAAAGTGTATTTAGAAATAAAATTTTAGTTTATAAACTAAAATATTTCATTTACACTGAAAAGATTAAAATTAACTTATTTAAAATTTTAAATTAAATAAGTTAATTTTAACTCAATAATATATTGAACATTAAAACAATTTTAGATAAATAAAATTATATAATCAAGTCATATATTCCAGTAATAAAAATTAAACAATAAATAAATTTATAATAAATAGTAATGTAAATGAAAATTTAAAATATAAGTTATAATAAATTATTTAGTACCTTTTGTATCAGGGATAATTAAACTCAAATATTTATTTTATAAATCTCGAATTTAAAAGAGCTATACGTATATGATTACTTTTGTTGCAAAAAAATTATTAATATACGTATAGAAATTAAATGTTAATCGATTTTAAATATATCTAGTTTTTTTAAAATGAATTTAATTCTTATTAAGATTAGAATAAAATTATTAAATAATAAAACAATTTTATAATCTTATATAAAATTTATGGGACAATCTATAATTTTAACTTTATAATTTATATTTTAATTTACTTAAATTTTATATACATAAAATTTGTAATTAACTTAAAATATTTTATAATTTAAAAAACCAAAAACAAAAATTAAAATTATCAATATAAAAATAAAAAAAAAATAAATCAATTAATTTATTATTGTTATAATGATTATATAAGTAGTTTATAATATATAAAATTTTATAATTTAAATAAATAATTTTAAGGAACTAGGCAAATTAATAAATTATATTCACCTGTTTAACAAAAACATCGCCTATAGATATTAATTTTAGGTCAATCTGCCCAATGAGACATTAAATGGCTGCGGTATATTTAACCGTGCAAAGGTAGCATAATAAATTGTCTTTTAATTAAAGAACTGAATGAAAGAATTAATGAAATATAAACTGTCTCAATATTATAAAATTAAATTAAACTTTGAGTTAAAATGCTTAAATTTAATTATGGGACGATAAGACCCTATAGAATTTAATATTTTATAAAATAATTACACTAAAATTATATTTATTAAACTTAATATAAAATATTTAACTGGGAGGGTAATTAAATTTAATAAACTTTAATTAATAAAAACTAAAATTTAAGAAAAATCAAATGATCCAATAATATTAATTTAAAGAAAAAATTACCTTAGGGATAACAGCGTAATATCTTTTAAAAGATCATATTAATAAAGATGTTTGCGACCTCGATGTTGAATTAAGATAAATTTTAAGTGCAGTAGCTTAATAAATTAAGTCTGTTCGACTTTTAAAATCTTACATGATTTGAGTTCAGATCGACGTAAGTCAGATCGGTTTCTATCTATAATAAAAAAAATAAGTTTCTGTACGAAAGGACAAAACTTATTAATATAATTATAAGAATTATAATGATTAATAACCATTATTTTGGCAGAATAGTGCATTAAATTTAGAATTTAAATAATATATAAATAAATCATATATAATATAATAATTTTTGTAATATTAAACATAATTTTATTAATCATTATAATTCTTATTAGAGTTGCCTTTCTAACCTTACTTGAACGTAAAATTCTTAGTTATCAACAAATACGAAAAGGTCCAAATAAAGTTGGATTCAAAGGATTTTTACAACCAATTAGAGATGCAATTAAATTAATATCTAAAGAATGAATTGTAATAAATATTAATTTTACTATTTATAAATTAAGCCCCATATTTATATTTATATTATCAATAATTATATGAATTATATATCCATGATTTAATTTATACCACATAACAAATAGAATAATTTTTCTAATCTTAATAATTGGACTAAATACTTACCCCATAGTACTAATTGGATGAATTTCAAAAAACAAATATGCACTTATTGGATCAGTTCGATCAATTGCTCAAATAATCTCATTTGAAATTAGATTATTTTTAATAATTTTTATTTTTATAATATTAACTGAAAGATTTTCATTAAAAGATCTTGAAAAACTTCAAGGAAATAATATTTCATTATTTATCTTAACCTCACCAATATACATTATTTTTTTTACTAGAATACTAATTGAACTAAACCGAACACCATTTGATTTAATTGAAGGAGAATCCGAACTAGTATCTGGTTTCAATGTAGAATACTACAGAAGATTTTTTGTATTAATCTTTCTATCAGAATACTCAAGAATTGTATTCATAAGATTTATTATAACTATATTCTTTTTTAATTATTCAATAAATTCAATAATATTTTATATTATACTTACATTTCATATATTAATAATTTTATGAATCCGAGGAGTACTCCCTCGGATACGCTATGATATTTTAATAAAAACATGTTGAACATACTTCTTAATTCTTACATTAATTTACTTAACTTATATTTATTTAATAAAAGAAGTATTTATAAATCTAAGTTAATAGAAAATTATATTTCTATAATATATTTTCAAAATATACACTTATTCAAGCTCATTAACTAAAAATTAATAACTTTATCTCAATAAATATAAGATAAAGGCAAACAAAAAAAAAATAAAAAATAACTTAATGTAAAAATTTCATTTAATACAATAAAAGGATATTCAATAACTTGCCTGCCTAGCCAAGTCAACATAATAAAATTATTAATAAAAAACCAATATAATAATTGCCTTAATGGATAAAACTTATTTGATTTAATACAATTATTATACAATGGCATAACATACAAAATTAAAATTGATATTAACAAAGCTATAACCCCTCCCAATTTATTAGGAATAGCCCGTAAAATTGAATAAGCAAATAAAAAATACCACTCAGGTTTAATATGAGCCGGAGTCATTATACTATTGGCAATTTTAAAATTATCAGGATCTCCTAAATAGTAAGGAAATTGACAAATTAAAAATATAAAAAACAATAAAATTAAAACAAATATTAATATATCTTTAATAGTAAAATAAGGATGAAAATAAATTTTATAGACATTTCTATTATAACCCATTGGATTTGATGAACCAGTTAAATGCAATGAAAAAATATGTATAACAACTAACAAAAAAATAACTAAAGGTAAAATAAAATGCAACGAAAAAAACCGATTTAACGTAGCATTACTAATTGAAAATCCACCTCAAATCCATTCAACTAATATCTCACCCAAATAAGGAATAGCCGATAATAAATTTGTAATAACCGTAGCACCCCAAAATGATATTTGACCTCAAGGCAAAACATAGCCTAAAAAAGCAGTAGCTATTGATAAAAACATAATAGTTACCCCAATTATCCAAACATGAATCAACTTAAATGATTGATAATAAATATTACGACTAATATGAATATACATTATTATAAAATAAAACGAAGCACCATTTATATGAATTAAACGAATTAACCACCCAGAATTTACATCTTTTATAATATGAATAACACTTAAAAAAGCATAATCAACATTAGGACAATAATGTATAGACAATAATAAACCTGAAACAATTTGAATTATCAAAAATACACCCAGTATAGAACCAAAATTTCACCAAATATTAATATTTAAAGGAGTCGGAAGCATTAGAACAGAATACAAAAATATATTTACATATTTATTTTTATTTAATAAACTATAAAACTTTATTGACATTAAAATTAATTAATATTTACGTAAGGGTTTATTACTATAACATATAGAAAAAGACAAAATCAAAATAAAAAACAAAAATAACATCAAAACAAAATAAAAAGAAAAATTAGAATCCAGAAAAATAAAATAAAAAGAATCGTAATAATTACTCCAAGAAACATCAAAATAATCAATTATTAATACATACGAAAAATTATTGTAAAATAAATATATAATTCCAAACAAAAATGGATACAAATACAAATAAGACATTAAATTACGACCTCAAACCCTATTTTCCAAATTAACAAAATAAGAAAAAACAACTATTAAACCTCTAACAAAAACAATCAAAACAAGCATAGAATATATAGAATTTTTAGTTAAAATATATAAATAAACTATTATAAAAATTGAAAAAAACAAGAAAAAAATAATATTAAGAGAAGAAGACAAATTTGATTTATTATAATATAACATACAAAATACAAAAAAAATATATAAAGGAAAAAAACACAAAACTAAATAATAAATAAACTTAAGTAATACAAAAAAAGATACTGACATTAATTTATTAAAATAAAGACAAAAAATAGTTTAAACTAAAACAATAATTCTGGGAATTATTAATAAATAATAACTATTTTTTTTTGAAACTTATATATATATATATATATATATATATATTAAAAAATAATTATAAAATATTAATCTTATTAATTAATAAAATAAACATTTTTTTTTATAATTAATAAAACAAAACATCAATTAGATAAATAATACTTACAACTAATTAAAGTTAAAGATATAAATATCATTTATAATTTACAAAATTATTGTTTTAGTTTAAACTATATAACCTCATTTAATTAATATTTTTAATTGATACACTTATATATATATATATATATATTAATTAATATGAAAATAGTAATAATTTATTTTATTAATTAATATACTTAATTGTTACTATTTTCATATTAATTATAATTATCATAACTGCAAAAAGATACTCTATATTAAATTATTTAATTTTCATCGAATACAGAGTATTACTAATAATTTTTTTTATTATTACTAATCAATTAATAAATGATTGAATATTTATAATATATATAATTTTTACAGTAGGAGAATCAATTATTGGATTAACTTTAATAATAACATTAAATCAAAGTTACGGACATCAAAATATTAACGCAATTAACTTATGTTCGAATTAGCAATATTATTAACAATTATAATAATAATATGTAACTTTATTGAACTATACTTCTTAAGAAGAATAAATTTTTTAATCATTATAATATACTTAACTAAACTAAACAACAATGATTGATGAATAATTTTTAATAGAATAAGATTAAATATATATTCATACGGATTAGTAATTATAACACTATGAATTTTTAGATTAATTATAATAAACATAACCAAAGAAAATAACCTAATAATATATACTTTAGTTAATTTATTATTAATAATTATATTATTAATAAATTTTATAGCAATAAATTTATTCACTTTTTATTTCCTATTTGAATCAAGCCTACTAATAATTTTTATTATAGTACTATTATGAGGATATAGATCAACACGAGTAATAGCCGCCTATTACCTAATATTTTATACATTAGTCTTCTCACTACCCTTGCTAATAATTCTATTATACATTCTCCAAACAAGCGGTAATTCATCATTTATATACCTAGAAACACTAAATATTAAATTACCACTATACCCTAAAATCTATTTAGTATTATCATTTATAGTTAAAATTCCAATATATACCCTTCACAACTGGCTACTAAAAGCACATGTCGAAGCATCATATATTGGATCAATAATTCTAGCTTCAATAATACTTAAACTAGGAAGATATGGACTTTTACGTATAATTAAAATTTTCAAGAAAATAAACTTTAACATCTACTTCATTTATTTAAGACTATTCGGAAGATTATTAACTAGCTTTATATGTTTTCGACAAATTGATATAAAAATCATCGTAGCAATATCCTCTGTTGTTCACATAAATTTAATAATTGCAAGAATAATAACAATATTAAATACCAGAATTATAGGAAGATATTTAATAATACTGTCTCATGGACTATGTTCATCTGGATTATTCTACCTAATTAATATTATCTATAAACAAACTAACAGACGAATTATAATCATAAATAAAGGAATAATAATTTTAATACCATCAATATCTTTAATATGGTTCCTACTATGTTCATCAAATATAGCAGCTCCAATATCACTTAACCTAGTAAGAGAAATTATTTTACTAATTTCTCTATATTCATGAATAAATACAATTATAATTATATTAATAATTTATTGTACTATAAGATTCTTATATTCACTATATTTATTCAGATACATTCAACATGGATTCATTAATAACAATAAATTCTATAATATAAGAAATGGTAAGTTAATTAATTTTTTTACATTAATAATACATTGAACACCATTAAATCTATTTATTGTAAACATATCTATATTCATTTATTTAAATAGTTTAAATAAAAACAATGATTTGTGGAATCAGCAATGTAATACTATATACTTTAAATTATTGTTAAAATAATAACTACAAGCTTCATTTTAATATTTATAAGAATTATATTTTTCATAATTGGAATAACTTTTACTAACTTAAACAAAATCATTATTATTGAATGAATAATTATAGAAATTAATTCAATAAAATTAAATATATTCATTATATTAGACAATAAAATAATATTTTTTATTATAATAATTTTAATTATTTCATCTATAGTAATTATCTATAGAACTGAATATATAAAAATAAATATTTATTTAATAAATAAATACTTATATTTAGTTATTATATTCCTAATATCTATAATTCTTATAATCATAAGTCCTAACATATTAACCATTATACTAGGCTGAGACGGCCTAGGATTAATTTCTTACTGTTTAATTATTTTTTATAATAACATAAAATCTTACAGAGCAGGAATATTAACAGTAATTTTAAATCGAATTGGTGATTCCAGACTAATTATTATAATTTGTATAATAATTAAATTCGGAAGATGAAATCTAATATTATATAAAATTGATAAAATCATAATAATTATACTAATTATTATAGCCTTTACAAAAAGAGCTCAATTACCCTTTTCAAGATGATTACCAGCTGCAATAATAGCACCAACTCCCGTCTCATCTCTAGTTCATTCATCAACATTAGTAACAGCAGGTGTATACTTATTAATTCGATACAAACCTATTATAATAAACAATTATAACGAATACCTTTTATTAATTTCAAGAATAACTATAATAATTTCAGGTTTAATAGCTAATTTTGAATGTGACTTTAAAAAAATTATTGCCCTATCAACTCTTAGACAGCTAGGATTTATAATAAGAATCCTATTTATAAATATAGAAAAGTTAGCATTTATACATCTAATAATTCATGCAATATTTAAATCACTAATATTTCTATGCACCGGTAGATTCATTCACTATATAAATAGAAGACAAGATATTCGAGACTATAGAGGCATAATAAAAATTCATCCACTAAAAAGAATAATTATAACATTTTCAATATTATCTCTTTGTGGTTTTCCATTTCTGTGTGGATTTTACTCAAAAGACCTAATTATAGAATATTTTTTTATCAACAAAATAAATACACTTAGATTAATTAACTTAATATTAGGGACTATATTTACAGTATCATATTCAACTAAAGTTTTATTAATCTTATATTCAAATAAATCTCCAATTTATAATAACATAAATTATTCCTCTAACAAAATAATAAACTATAGAATATTATTTATAATAATTATATCAATATTTTTCAGAAAATACTATTTAAATATAATTTACATAGATTATAACACTAACCTGCCTCAAAGATATAAATATATAATTATTAAATTATGTATTATAGGCATAATTATAGGATTCCAAATAAATAAATTAACATTTAATAAAAACATTAAAATAATAAGATTTATAACAGCAAATATAATAATAATAAACAATTTATATAAACACATTTACCTAAAACCGTTTAATAAAATTATAAAATACGAAAACCTTATTGAAAAAAAAATATTTGAAGAAATAATAGGTAAATTATTTCTAATAATTTCATGAAATACAGCTCATCTAGCCTTTAAAACATTCAATTTAAAAATAATTATATCCCTATATATTTTATTCTCAACAACCATCACTATATATATATATTTAAATAGCTTATAAAGAGCATAATATTGAAAATATTAAGGAAATTATTTATTTTTAAATAATAGTAAATACAGTTTTTAAATATAATTATATATATATATCAATTTTATATTGAAAATATAATGTTTTAAATAAACTATAAAAACTAAAAACAGAACTATAAAACAAAAAAAAGAAATAAGACAATAATTAATTTATCAAACATAGAATTAGAAGTTCTACCAATTTTATTTCATTAATTGGAAAAAAAATTCAATTCTATTATTAACAATAACATGCCTCAAATTTGGCTTCAATTAATATATTTATATATATATATATATATATAAACTTATATGAAGTAAATCTTACAATTTAATTTCGACCTAAATTTTTGATTATTTATATAATCCATATATATATATATATATATAATAATAAAAAAATTAAAACATCCAATCTAAAAACTTAGAATTCCACTCATAAAGTAAAGTTAACAATATAACCAATAAAAATAAAATAAATATCCTTATAATATAAGAAGAATCCAAATAATAAAAAAAAAAAACATAAGGAATAATCATAACTACTTCAATATCAAAAATCAAAAATATTAAACAAATTAAATAAAAAGGTACAGAAACAGGTAATATAAATTTAAAAATAGGTGAAAATCCACACTCATAAGGAAGACATTTCTCCTTATCAGAAAATTGAACTATACTAAAAAATATATTCAATAAATATACAAAATATCCAATAAAATAAATAAATAAAACTATAAAAAAATAACTAATCATTGTACACATTATTTATAATAAATATTTTAATTGGAAATTAAATGTAATAGTATTTATACTATATATACCAACTACAAACAACCAAAAAACAAAAATTAAAACTTAATTAAAAAACCAATAAATAAAAATATACAAAAACAACCAAACCAAATCAACAAAATGCCAGTACCACAAAGAAGCTTCAAAATTAAAATGATGAATCAAAGAAAAATGATTTAATTTAATACGCAAATAAGAAGAAAATAACAATATAACCCCAACAAAAACATGTAACCCATGAAATCCAGTTAATATATAAAAAACCGACCCAAAAATACCATCATTAATCCTAAAAAATGAATCAAAATACTCAATACGCTGAACAAATAAAAAATAAATGCCTAAAAAAATAGTCAGCCCTAAACTATTAATCAATCCAAAATAATTACCAACTAATAAACTATTATGTCTTCAAGTAACAGTTAAACCAGAAGAAATCAAAATAATCGAATTTAATAAAGGAATATCATAAGGGTCAAAAAATAAAATCCATAAAGGAGGCCATATCATACCAATATCAATTGAAGGAGAAATAGAATTATGAAAAAAAGACCAAAAAAATGAAATAAAAAAAAACAATTCAGTAATAATAAATAAAACTATACTAAACTTTAAAAACTTATAAACAGAGTAAGTATGAACACCCTGAAACATTCTCTCACGAACAACATCACGAACCCATTGTAAAAAAACAAACACCAAAACTAATAAACAAAAAAATATAACATTAACAGAACCAACAAAAAAAAAATAATTAAGAGAAGAAAATAACAAATTAAAAATAGATACAGACATTATAATAGGTCAAGGCCTTATAGTAACTAGATGAAACGGATGATTTGACATTAACATTAACATTAAATTTATTTAAATTCAGTAAAATATAAAGTTATCAAAACCGAAAACACATAAGCCTGAATAAAAGCTATAAAAATTTCCAAAATTAAAAGAATATTTTGAACAATAATTGACAAACACAAAAACAATAAAATTGTCTTAGACATAAATAAACCCAACAAAATTATTAACAAATGTCCAGAAATCAAATTAGCTGTCAATCGAATAGACAAAGTTAAAGGTCGAATCAAATTTCTAACAAATTCAATCAAAACCATAAAATTCATTAAAAATCTAGGAGTATTTTTAGGAACAAGATGACTAAACACTATAACTGGCTTATTTAAATACCCATACAAAATAAAGCCTAATCACAAAGATAAAGACAAAATCAAATTAATAGAAATATGTCTAGTAACAGTAAAAACATAAGGTAATAACCCAAACAAATTCAATAATATAATATAAATTAATAATCTAACAAAAACAATAGTATTAGACTGATACTTACTAGAAATTAATAAATTAAACTCATTATAAATAAACTTAACCAAAATTATCAAAATAACCCTAATACGAGAATAAATAAATCAATAAAATATAAAAGTCAAAATAAAAGGTAAATAAATAGAAAATCAATTAAATGGAAAAGATAAACAACAAAATTTACCAACCATAGGATCAAACCTTTCAAACAAATTACTTACCATAATCAACTCCATTTTTTATAAACTAATTCAAAAACAGAAAAATCAACCTTATTTATTATAATCAAAATCGAATTAATACAGCCTATCATTATAAATAAATTAAACAAACAAACAAAAGATAAAATAAACCAACTTATAGGACCCATTTGAGGAATAAAAGACTCATTAGAAGTAATTGCTATTACTATAACATGATTTAAAAAATCAATTCTTGCACTTCAGACATCTAATGACACTTTCAAATAACAATAAATAAACTATTAACTTTAAACTGACAATTTAATATTATAATATTAACTAATTATTTAAAACAAAAATCAACTATCCCTTGTTAACTCAATCAGTAAAAAACTTATAAGTTGTTCTCTCTAAAACAATAGGTATAAATCTATGATTTATACCACAAATTTCAGAACACTGACCAAAAAACAAACCAGGACGACTAGAATATAAATTAACCTGATTAATACGACCAGGAACAGAATCAATTTTAATCCCCAAAGACTGCAAAGCTCAAGAATGAATAACATCAGCTGAAGTAACAACCAACCGAATAGGAACACCAAAAGGAACAATTAAACGATTATCAACATCCAATAAACGAAACTGATCAATTAATATATAAGAAGCCATATAAGAATCAAACTCTAAATTATTAAATTCTGGATATTCATAAGATCAATATCATTGATGACCAACAGCTTTAATAGAAAAATAAGGATTTAATAATTCATCCATATAATATAAAATCTTCAAAGAAGGAAAACAAATAAAAATTAAAATAAATATAGGAACAATAGTCCAAATAGTCTCTAAAAAATGATTTTTTAATAAATAACGATTTAAATGCCTATTATTAACAATATCAAAAACAATAAAAACAGTAAATACAATAACAATAACTATCATAATCATAGTTAAACTATGAAAAGAAATTAGATTATCAGAGTAAGGGGAGTTAGAATCTTGAAAACCAAATATATATCATGTTGCGATTTTTAATAAAAAAAACAATTTTTATACATAGAACTTAAACCTATTGCACTAATCTGCCATATTAAAATTAAACTCTCTAACTCCAGATCAATAAAATAATTATACCAATTATACCTTAGAAACAATAGGAACCTCAGAATAAGAATGATCCAAAGGAGGCATAAAACCAATTCATTCTAAAGACGATTGATTATACTTAAAAACAATTAAACGCTTAGAAATTAAACTCTCCAATAAAATATAAATCAAAAAAATTAAACTATTTAAAGAAATCAAAGAACCAATTGAAGAAATAACATTCCAACAATAATAAGCATCCGGATAATCAGAATAACGACGAGGTATACCCATTAATCCTAAAAAATGCTGGGGAAAAAATGTAAAATTAACCCCAATTAATATCATTAAAAATTGAGACTTTAATCACTTTTGATTCATTATTAAACCTCTTAACAAAGGATACCAATGAACAAAACTGCCAATAATAGCAAATACAGCCCCCATAGACAAAACATAATGAAAATGACCAACAACATAATAAGTATCATGTAAAATAATATCAATAGAAGAATTAGATAATATAATACCAGTTAACCCGCCAATAGTAAATATTATAATAAAACCCAACCTCCACAAAATCGAATTATTAAAATTTAATTTTGAACCATAATAAGTAGCTAACCAACTAAAAACCTTAATACCCGTAGGAACTGCAATAATCATAGTAGCTGAAGTAAAATATGCACGAGTATCAACATCAAGACCAACTGTAAATATATGATGAGCCCAGACAATAAATCCCAAGAAACCAATTCCTATCATAGCATAAATTATACCCAAATTACCAAAAACCTCCTTCTTACCCCTCTCATTTATAATTAAATGAGATATAAGACCAAATCCAGGTAAAATCAAAATATAAACCTCAGGATGACCAAAAAATCAAAATAAATGTTGATATAAAATAGGATCCCCCCCTCCTAAAGGATCAAAAAAAGAAGTATTAATATTACGATCAAAAAGAAGTATAGTAATCGCTCCAGCTAAAACAGGTAAAGATAACAATAATAAAATAGCTGTAATAAATACCGACCAAGCAAATAAAGGCAAAAAATCATACTTAACTGAAAAATTCTTCATCAACATAATAGTAACTATAAAATTCATAGCCCCCATAATAGATGACATCCCTGATATATGTAAAGAAAAAATAGTAAAATCAACCGAAGGTGAAGAATGAAATATATAAGAAGATAAAGGAGGATAAACCGTTCATCCAGTACCAGGCCTAACTTGAAATAAATTACTTATAATTAATAAAATTAAAGAAGGAGGAAGTAATCAAAACCTAATATTATTTATACGAGGAAAAGCTATGTCAGGAGATCCAATCATTAAAGGAACCAACCAATTACCAAAACCACCAATTATAAATGGTATAACCATAAAAAAAATTATTATAAAAGCATGAGCAGTCACAATAGAATTATAAATTTGATCATTATTAATTCATATCCCAGGACTACTCAACTCCATACGAATAATTATACTCAAAGAAGTTCCAACCATCCCCGACCATAAAGCAAAAGCAATATAAATCATTCCAATATCTTTATGATTAGTTGAAAAAAATCACTTACCCCAAAAATAACTTATTAAGATTTATATAAATTCAATATATATAAATAACTTTGAAGGCTAAAAGTTTAATTAACTTAAAATCTTTAAAATAAAGTATTATGTCTGAAAAAGAAATAAATTGTAAATTTATTAATGAAGATAAAACTCTTCTATTACTAAAAATATAAACAAAATTTTTATAGTTTAAAAACAAAACATTAAATTGCAAATTTAAAATTGTATAAATCAAACTTAACTAAAAATTAAAACACTTAATAAAGTAACCCCACAAACATAAAACCCGTAAACGAAAGCAACATAGATAAACCCAAAAAAAAACTAAAATAATTACTAAAAAAAAAAGAATATAAAATAGGCTTTTTCATCCTAGGAAAATAACCAACCAAAGAATAACTAAAAAACCCAACATAAGCCCAAAGAACTATAACAGAACTAAATGTATAAATAAAAACAAAAATATAGTAAAAAATCGAATTATAAAAAAAAACACTAATAACAATTCATTTCAAGAAAAAACAACAAAAAGGAGGAAATCCAGAATACCCTAAAACTAAACTAACATAAACAAACTTTATAATACGACTAAAAGAAACATTTAATAAACCAAATAAATCATTAATATTCAAAAATCCAAACATAAAACACAACAAACAAAAATAAATCAAATAAAATAAAACAAAAATAGATATAAGCTCAAAATCAAATAAACCAATAATAAAAATAAAAGAACTTTGAATAATTGATGTAGAAGCTATAATACTCTTATAAGAACTTAAATTCTTTAAAGACAAAGAAACAAAAAAACTACCAAAAACAATAAAATAAATAAATCACCAATTAAAATCAACAACTATTAACAAAAAATAAATAAAACTAAATTTACATAAAGTACAAAATAAACAAATCTCAAGTCAAGTCATACCACGACATAAAAAAATAACTCAATAATTAAAAGGAAAAATACCTAATTTAAACATTATAACTAAAAAAATAACCAAATCACTTAAATAAATATCAATCCATAAAACACTAACAGTATTGCCAAGTATAACAAAACCAACCAACAGAACACCAGTAAAAGATATTAAAATAAAATATAAACATCTCACATACTTATTATTATTAAAATTAAGATAAATAACCATAAATAAATTTAAAGCCTCATAAAACATCCAAACAAAAAATAAATTATCACTAAAAATCATAAAAATAAATATTAAAACTATTATTAAAACACAAATATATTTCTTAAATAACATATTATATACTAAAATTATAAATTAATAACAATAACAAATAAAAACATTTAATTATAAATTAAATAACATAACAATTAAAATTTAAATATATTTTAGTGTAATAAATGCACATAAAATTTTGAATTTTAATGAATTAAATAAATTAATAAATATAAAAATAAAAAGTAATAGTAATTAAAATTACATTAATATTTCATCAAAATATCCCTTTAATCAGGCATATTACCAAATAAAAAAATTACATATAAAAGAGTAAAACATCTATATTTAGGATATGAGCCTAAAAGCTTAAACCTTAGCTTATCTATATAAAAAAATATTCAGATATACGTCCTCGAAATGGCGAACGGTCCTGCAATGCATTCTGGACGCCGGCGTCGATTTTTCTATCTACGATGGTGGGGGCAAATACAGATAACTAAATATTTCGACGATAAAAGTAATTCCTAAATCTAAATGTGGCCAACGAAGGCTTGCCTTTTTTCGGTACCGAAAACGAAGGTGTGGTTTGTTTTTTCAACAGCACAAACGGTTCCCGTGTTACTGTTAAACGAAGCGAATATAAACCTGTAACGTCGTCCAGCCGATTGTTGTTCTTCGCGACTTTCACAGAACAGACGGTGGCAATTCTCGTACTCTAAATGGCGTACGATTCTGCTATGTATACTTGACGACGGTGTCGAATTTTAGAAATACGATGGTTGGGGCCAATACAGATAATTAAATATTTCGACTTTAAAAATAATACCTTCGGCTAAATGTATGCAATAAATCTTACCCTTTTTTGATACGGATCACAAAGTTATGGTTTGTTTTTTCAATAGCTCAAACGGTTCCCGTGTTACTGTTACACGAAGCGAATATACACATATAACGTCGCACATGGTTATAGTAGTTCTGCGGGACCTGCGCAAATCATACAGGGACGAATTTCTTCCTCTAAATGGCCTACCGAATTTTCGAACTACGATGGTGGGGGCAAATACAGACAACTAAATATTTGGATTTTAAAAATATTCCTAAAAAATAAATATGCCCAACGAAATCTTATCTTTTTTTGGTACCGAATACGAAGGTGTGGTTTTTTTTTCAATAGCTCAAGCGGTTCCCGTGTCA